CCCCCATTTCCTCCTTATTCCTGGAGCATAATATTTTATTGCTGGACGAGGCCACCAGTAAATCACTCTTCACCTTGTGCTGGCTCTGTTCCTCTGGCCGGGGAGAAAGATGGAATGGAGCCACGGCCCTGTTCCTTTCCCTTTCCTCTCTGCCCCCCTGCACCAGACGAGTAAGCAGGTGGGGGGCCTCCCTTAAATAGGTGTCTGAGATACAATCCTGCTCCAAATTAATAATAAGGGTGGACCCCAGAAATGAGGTAAGCTTGGGGGATTCTTCTTGTGTGCCCACAGCCTGTGTTAGGGACGGGGTGGCAACCTCCTCTCATGCATGCACGGGTAGGGTTGCCAGATGGTTTATCCAAAAATACCAACCCCCCCCCCAAAAAAAAACAAACAAAAAAACCCATCAGGGAAAAAATTCTGTTGAGAGAAAAAAAGGGGGGTGACCAAAGTTATTGAGGGGAAAAAAGACCCTGAGAGTTGTGTGGCGGCATGTCGGAGTTCCCTCACCTCCTACACCCCCGTAGTGGCATGAACAGACTCCACCAGCCAGTAGACTAGAAAGAGTTTATTGCTTCTCCAGGATACAGCACAGCAGAGATGTAATCTGGTTATAGGGCAGGCCTAGGATGCCTCAGGCCCCCTTGAGATGGGGGAGACTGGGCCCCTAAATCCCAGACCCTTTCCTAGGCTGCTTCCTCCATGATACCAGACAGAAACTAAAAACGTCCCTTCCAGCCCTGCCCCCCAGCCAGAGGCTGGCCTCTTCTCCTTCCTTTGTTTCTTTCCCTGGGAGGTAAACAGTTAAACAGGTTACCTCCCTGTCCCATCAGCTACTCTGCTGAGCCGTGGTACAGACAGCAGCCAGTGGGGGTTACCCACAGCCCCAGCCTAGCAACCAGCAAGGTACCAACACTATCACAAGTTGTTAAGCAAAAAAAAATTTTTTTAAAAAAGCGTGGCCCCTTTAAGAAATGCTTTTGAGGCTTTTCGGCCCTAACAGGTTGGTGGCAGCCGTCTGCAATCTTGTCTCCCTGCCGGACAGTTCCCCTGCGGAACCTGGTACGCACCCAGGACTTTCACCTCCTGGCTGGGAAAAAATCAGAAAATACGACACATTTTAGAATAGGAAATACTGGACACCTGGCAACCTTACACATGGGTGGATGTGGAAGTTTTGTATGGCTAGATAATAGGAACCGCAAACACTCCAGCAGTACTGGTTTGGAATAGAAGTGTAGGACTTAGGCTACGTCTACACTGCAATGATCTGGCAGAAAAAGGTACGCAAATTGTGATTTGCAATTTGCTTACCTTTTTTGATAGTTTTTTCGGAAGAGGCTTTTCTGAAATTTGGCCCATCTACACTGGGCCAAATTTTGGAAAAGCCTCCTCTTCCGAAAAAGCCTGTCCGCTGATTGACTGCTTTGCCTGGATCTCTCCACTGCTCCTTTCCTGGGATGGAGGTGGCAGAGTCTTGATGTCTCCAGCAAGGGGGCTTTGGGCCTTGTCCACCCAATCACAGGCCATCTCTAAGGAATCCTTTACCTGTGTTAAATATCATTTTTTTAACTTTGTAGAAGTATTGTTATTTGCCTTGTAACAGCCCCTAACAGCCCTACTGCTGGGATCAAGTGTTTATAGCTAGGCATATTAAACTTCCCATCCAAAATAATCAGGGTACTTCCTGGGGTGTCCAATATAGCCTTTTTTCTCCTGATCATCCTCTCTCTTATTGGTCCAGCAGGGGCCCTCTCTCTTGAGTGACCTTGTGGTCCCTTTAATCCTGGTCATTCTAATGTCAGATTATACGAACATTTTTTTTAAAAAAAGACAAAAAGATGAGTGAGAAATAAAAGCTTTGAAGATGAATAGGATGAGGTTTGATCATATAGGCCAAATTCTACTTGCAGTTCTACTCTGACAATTCTCCTGGGAATTCAGGGTGTAAATCAGCTAAGAACTTAGCCCTTGAAATCTAATAAAATCTAAACTCTGATATGGGTGTTCCCATAGTAATAAACAGCTCATTAACTAAGTGATGGAGTGATTTAATTTAGATTTAAAAAATTCTCTCAACAAACAGGAAAACATTTTGAAAAGGGTGAAAGGTTCTACATGTGCTACCCATCCCAGAGGTATACAGTTCTGTATGGTAACAGTCTTCATTTTCACATTAAACAAGCATCAGAGCCTTTTCGTAATTACCAACAAGCATTTAAGAACCTCCAGAGTTTACATGATTTATTATTATCTGCACTTATAAACCCCTTTTGTAGAACTTTTTGCAGAGCTACATGGTTTGTGATAAGCACCCCTTTCAAGAGGTGCTGTTAAATAATTACCACTCTGACATCTGTATGAAGAGCAACTACACCTAGGGTACGTCTAAACTACATGACTCCGTCGACGGAGGCAGGTAGATTAGACAGATCGGCAGAGGGAAATGAAGCCGCGATTATTTTAATCGCGGCTTCATTTCCCTCTGCCGATCTGTCTAATCTACCTGCCTCCGTCGACGGAGGCAGGTAGATTAGACAGATCGGCAGAGGGAAATGAAGCCGCGATTATTTTAATCGCGGCTTCATTTCCCTCTGCCGATCTGTCTAATCTACCTGCCTCCGTCGACGGAGGCAGGTAGATTAGACAGATCGGCAGAGGGAAATGAAGCCGCGATTATTTTAATCGCGGCTTCATTTCCCTCTGCCGATCTGTCTAATCTACCTGCCTCCGTCGACGGAGGCATGTAGTCTAGACACACCCCTAGTGAAATAAATAGTTTTATATCTTGGTCTCCCTTTAGGGCCTTCCTTCCCATCTCTTCCAGGTAATCCACTCTGAGTAGGGCCACCTACACACAACCTACATGCAATGAGATCCCACTGTTGGAATTGGTGGCTTGGATTTGTCATGAATGTTGTCATCAAGGATGCTCATTTAACAAAATGCTCAAAAGAGGAAGCAGTGTCATTTTTCCCAGTTTCAGTCTGAATTCATGGCATCGATTTATTCTGTATATTGTGAACTGATTAAAGAAATGACAAACACCGACATCCTGCATTGTTTGTACTGATTTGTAGTTATTTTACAGAAAGCACCTGGGCTCATGGAAGACACATCATTGCAATCTGAAAAGATCTTAATGTATTTTTTAAAAAACCTTTGTTAAATTATTCACCATGCCAAACCTAAAGCTGCTGAATTTAAGTCCCATCTTATATCAACGAAAATCAAACATCAGTTTGCTTTGTACAAAATCCATTGCTCTAACAGCCAGTTGGCTGTTACAAACTCTGTATTTTAGCAATTGGCAGCCAAGACACTAACAAACGTAGCCCGGTTAGTACATTCAGCCAAGAATGAAAGGGGTTTAGCATTAGTTAAACCCTGACATGTCACTATGAAGGCTGCCAAAACACCACCTATTTAATAAGCAGAAGATGCATCATATTGCATTTTCAATCAAATAGGATAAAATTATGGCAAACATTACTCGGTGTCATTACACACAATGCCATCACCTATACCAACCAAATTATACAACCAATCAACATGCTACATTCAATTATCTATATTTAAGTAATGCCAGGTATAAATCTTCATACACACTGACCACAGCTTCATCATTAAAAATAACTGCCTCCATACCCTCCAGCCATTTACTCTGTGATTTTTGGGGCTGTACAGAAGTCTTAACAAAAATAATTGAGGAGTTCAGTCCACAGTGTATGGCTGTGTCTACATTGGTATGATCTTGCGCAAAAGTGGCCGCTTTTGCGCCAAAACTTGCTGCCTGTCTACACTGGCCGCGAGTTGCGAAAGAACACTGACGTTCTAATGTATGAAATCAGTGCTTCTTGTGCAAGAACTATGATGCTCCTGCTCAGGAATAAGCCCTCTTGCGCAAGAGGCCAGTGTAGACAATCAACATGAATTTCTTACGCAAGAAAGCCCGATGGCTAAAATGGCCATCAGAGCTTTCTTGCGCAAGAGAGCGTCTACACTGGCATGGATGCTCTTGCGCAAAAAGCACATCTCTTGCTCAAAGGCACATGCCAGTGTAGATGCTCTCTTCTGGAAGAGTTTTTGCACAAGAACTCTTCCACAAAAGAGTTCTTGCGCAAAATCACGCCAGTGTAGACATAGCCATATATATGCTTTGGAAGAGGTAACATGGAGTTCTGGGTTCACAACCATGTCACCTGGGAGTTTTTAGTTTACTTAAAAATCAGGAGCAGATGGTTCCAGTTTGTCTTTAAATGGTGGAGGTGAAGGAGTGAGGAGATGTTGATGGATGGCAAAATAAACAGGAGGAGGAATTGATTTGGTCAAAGAAGTTGCAGAATAGAACCTAAGCATCTGCATTAGCCTGACCTCTGGATAAGACCACATCCATAAGTGTCATGCTTTGCTAATGTACCCCCTTGATACTCATGCTCTTGGAGCAGAAGTGCCATTCTGCAAACTAGGGATGGAAATGGTTAACTGGTTAACCATTGAACCTCTCCCTTAACAGGTGAGGCTTACTGGTTCCACTTAACTGGTAGGAACTGGAACAGCTCCCCTCACACCCCGGACCGGGGGCTGTTTCAGTCCCATGGGACTCACTGCAGGCAGGGGCTGCTCCCACACTGCAGTTTACATGTTGTGGGCCCCGCCCCCAGGAAGATTTGCTGCGGGCTCTGCAGTTTATATATTTAAGCTTAGCACGTGTGCCCGTGTAACCGCTCAGATTTTTACGTGATTACATTTTGAAATGACTTTTTACATCCCTGCTGCAAACTCCTCAAAACATTTGTATGCTTGTCTGAAACACACCCACACTGAAGTCCCTTAGACATGTGCCCACTGCTATCTATTACATTATGGATAGGCAGAATCAGATATTTCACCTTTGGGTCTCTTTTAGAAGAAGCCCCTTTGAGGCTCTTGTATTATGTAGCAGAAAGATAATGAGAAAAGCTTGGCTTTCGGCTAGTTTCACAAAGAATTTCTGCATATGTCTCACAAACCAAAATTGGCTTTATTTTCATCATCTGGCAAATTTACAGAACCTGTTTGTCAAAAATCTGTCTGCTGAACAATTTAGTTATCCTGAGTACTTCATACTCCTCACTCAGTAGTGATAGATGTTAATGTACTTCTAGAGAGCCTCTAGCCAACCATCTCTGGATGCTTTACAAACAATAATGAATGTAATCCTCATAATCATTCCTGAAAAACATTGTTGTTTTATGAACGCCTTATATCAATATTTTCAACCACAATAGCTTAAAGTTAGGTTACTACATCAGTGGCCTCATTTTCAGAAGTGCTAGGTTCCCAAGCCAAGATCTTTATAAGTAATTAGTGATTTTTGGGTGCCCAACTTACATTAGCTTGATTCTCAGGCATTGGGAATGGCAGCTCTTTCTGAAAAATCAGTGTCCTTTAAGAGTCTCAAGTCGAGCACTGATGTGCCTTTACTGTAAGTAAGGTACCAAAAGTTCAGCTAAGTCTGATACATAGTGTTAACAAAAGTTGAAGGCAAACATGTAAAAGAACTGTGAACAAATGCACTTCACTAAAATTCCAGAGTTGTTTCCTGGGTCAACTAATGAGCAATGTGCTCGGTTGATGATTTACTACTCAATTGATGATTTCAATGACACTATTCTGATTTATCGCACCTGGGGATCTGGGAGCCAGGGTGCTGGAATTGTACAACATTTTTTTGACAGTCCATTCATTTGCAACACGTGCATGGATGTGGGACTATTTTGGCAATACCACTTGTGCAAGTAATCCCATTGATTTCAGGCCTTGGCCCTATTAAGGAAGCCAAAGAAGAGAACAGGGAGGTAGTGAAGAAGAAGCCTGTATTGTAGGCCAAAACAGAGGCTCCTAAAAGTCAAGGAGGGGCAGTTAGCCCGAGAGAAAATGGAGGCAGCCATTCCATATAGAGTACTCCAACACTTGCTATTAATGTGAATATGTTCATCCTTCCCCACCTCCCTTGCAAAAGCCACCTTCTACTGGGGGAAACAATCCTCTGAGCTGTTTGACATGTGGCAAAACTGGGCATAAAGTTAGAAGATGTCCCCAACTCAGAGACATGGGAGACTTCATCTGAAAGCTCCTACAAGGTTGAGTGAATCAAAGAGTGTACTGCATCCCAACTGAAGAACTACTCCTGCATGGTTAATCAGTCTGAAGCAATGACTACCCCAGAAAAGCAGCTGCCTAAAGGTCTTCCAGGATCTGCCTCAGAAGTTACAGGAAAGGTGGAAGGACGCATCTTCGGCAGGGAACTCTAAGTAATCTTCATATTCATCTCTCTTTGTGACAAGATACTAATGTGGCACAGATACATGCTTATCCAAAAAGCTCTGATAGAGTACATGCTCTGTAGAACTTTTCATGTTTTTCTTTTAATTAGCTATGTTTAGATTAAAAATGCTTTCTACTAAGCATAATTGTGACAAATTCAGCTAATCTATTAAGAATTTATATTTTATATAGCAGCAACTATTGGGAAACATAGATAAGTTTAGGACTCAGCAAGGTACTGGCTTTGACTTCAGACTAATCAATTTAGCCATTCACAGAGCTCTAATTTGTCCTGAGCCATCACAAGCTATTTATTCATATTAAGTCAGCTGAATTCTAAGTGCACCTTTGTGCCCTGCAACATCAAATGAGAAACATGCTCCTCTTCAAATGTGCCACAGCAGAATTTGATGTACAGTTGGGTGTTGGGCCAACAGAAAACAATATAGTCTGTCTGTCCTGGGAAAAGAAATAAAGTCTTACAAAGACATCAAAGAGAGTCTCTTAGACAGGACAGAGCCTACTGGAACTCAGATATTGGGGGTAATGGGGCCATTTAGGCACCTTTCATACCATTCATTTTGTTTTGAGAAGATTTTCTTTGTTTCTAATTAAACTGATTTTACTGGAGGCCCTTGAGATCTGAGACTGTTTGGGGAAATTCATGCAATCTGCCATCTAATTGCATGTAAACCCTTCACACCTGAATGTACAGTACATATGACACTTCGCCAACAAAAAATGAAATGTTACAAATAACAGTATAAAAACACAGTGGCTTAAATTCCTCTAGATTTAAGGCAATTCCCACAATCCTACCCAAAGTTTAATAACAAATATATGTCTTCAAATAATTCCCAGAAGAAAGCACAGAAAGGTTTCTTAAAGTCAAATAAAAGTTTTTTGGAACTACGTCTTCCTTGTGTTTGTACATCTCCTGGCACAACTGACTTTTGACCTAGCCTGTGGTCTCTGGAGTACAGCAATAGAAAAAATAAATAATAAATGTTAACAAGGCAAGCAAATGCCCTGACACGCATGTTCGTTAGGCATACAGGTAATCTCTTGTGAGCATTGAGAACAATGTCAAGTCTGTCTTGAATCTCCTAGGAGACTAATCCATCTATATCTCTTTCTGCACGGGGCTGCATCTGCTTATGTGGATTTTATCAGATTCGCTACATAAAGAAAAACTTGAGCTAACATTGTTTAGCACTAAAAAAAACAGAATCTGATGATTTGGTTTTAAAACTTTGCCATCCTATAAGTCTGCAAAGCCCCTTTAAACATGATAGATATTTGATCCTAACATACTTCTGCAGATGCCACTTCCGTCAGATGATGCGAAGGCAATATGGTCAGTGGTTTAAAATTCACACACAATTAATCGTCTCTCTCCACAGGATTTGTCGTTCCACTTTCCACTTGTATAGACTTCTACACAGTCCTCAGCTCCTTTGTCGTTATTTGGTTCCCTGGGCTCCCAGTTGGAATACACAATGTTTTCTCCATTCAGATACTTGAAACGACCCTCTGTCTGGATATCGTTTATCCCAATAAACACGGGTTTGTTGTACAAAGCGACTATCTGATGGATGGCGGTGTTTTCGGCGGCATTCCGAGGAGAAGCAAGCTGGCCTCCAGCTTGGGAGCACCTTTGCTTCAGACTCTCAAAGTTGCCTTCATAGCCACTGGTCATGAATATCTTTTCACCAACAATTCTGCCATTTGGGAACGTTATAACTAGAAAACAAAGCGATATCACCACATTAGGCCTCTAGCTAAGGACAATTTTGTGAATTCAACTGATTTATGGGGGCAGGTGGCAGAAATCAATTAAACACCATTGATTTCAATGGAGTTATATCACTCTATACCAGCTGATAATCTTAACCATGGAGAATATCACTGAAGTATAGTGATCCTTAGGGCTATATGCTACATTATAGATTAAATCCCCACTCATCCCATCCTCCAGCTCTATCTCTGAGGACCTGATCTTAGAACCATTGAATTCATTCCTCACCTCTTGGCCTGAATTAGCTTCAATCTGCTGTGATCGTTAGGATATACTGAAAAGCCCATCTCTTCTTCCAGCACAGCTCACTGTGTATTGTCACTGGAAGACTTCCACCCACCCATCTCTCACTGACCTCCCGTAATACCCCATTAACATCAGGTTAATTAACCACCACCCTTAATATCTCATTAACATTACGGTGTGATTCTGAAATAGCCAGAAGTCTTCGTGTTTCCCGTTATGTCTTCAAGTTTCTGCCAGAACTGGACCTTTGCCTCAAGATGGTGACAAAGGCTACTCCTTCAGGATGTCTGGCAGAACTAAGGGTATGTCTACACTGCCACCCTAGTTCGAACTAGGGTGGCTAATGCAGGCATTCGAAGTTGCAAATGAAGCTCGGGATTTAAATATCCCATGCTTCATTTGCATCTTGCCGGGCGCCGCCATTTTTAAATCCCCGTTAGTGTGGACTCCGTGCCCATGGCTACACACGGCACAGAGTAGGTAGTTTGAATTAGGCTCTCTAATTTGAACTACCGTTACTTCTCGTAGAACAAGGTGTACCAGTAGTCCGAATTTGCATACGGGCAAAGATGCACCAGTTTAACTAAAGGTGTACTTTTAAACCAGTTTAGTTAAACCAGAGCAAAGTCCTCCATAGACAACTTTCATTTGATTTAAAGCTGGTTTAGTCAGCTCTGTTTGATTCCTTGATGACTTAAGCTAAATTCATATAATCCAGTGTATAATCAATTTGAGATTGTTCACCCAGTTTTCACCAGTTTAATTAAAATGGATTAGAATTAGTTAATGTGGTGCAACATTTATGTGAAGAATAGCTTTTTTTCCACATAGGGTCTGATCATGTGATGAGACCGGTGCATACTTTTAGTGACTGTAACTGGATTCAGTGAGATCTGAGGGCACTTGGGATAACTCCAGAAAATTTATCCCTCCTCGGATTGCCCTTTGTATTGTCTATGGGGCATCACATAAGTCTGAGTTTGTGTACAATTAATTAACAATGAAAATGAACTGAACCATGGCTTAAAGGCATCAGACTACAACTCAGGAAGCTTAAACAAGATTAGAGATATAATTGTGTTGAAAGGCACCATCCTACTAGTGCACCATCTTACCTTGTTTGTACTTGGAGAAGCTGCTTTGCAGAGCTCTCAGCTGACCTTCCAAAGTGCTTACTTGCCTCTTAACGAGGTTGATCTCTGAATGAAGAAAGTTGCATGATTCTTAATGTTACAAATTAATAAGCAATACAGGCAAATCACAGCAGACCTATCGTTTCTATTTTAGATGTCTTAGATCTACACCTCTACATGACCAGGGTATAGACCTAAATCTGGATCACTGAAATTTTCTGTGTGATAAAAAATACACATGATGTACCTATAACCTGAAGGAAAGATTTGCATCACATTGACTTACTCTTTAAGGACAGGGCTGGATTAAACATCATTACAGTATCCATCTATAATAAAGTTTGGAGACCTAAGTCTATAGATGTGTCACTTTTAGTGCTTAGATTGGTCTGCATTGGCTACATAATACTAAAATGCTTTCCCCACTGCTGCTATATCACTGAGAGGTATCGTTTTACATTTTGTAAAGTATTAGAAGGAGTTGGAAGAGGATGCTTTCAGGTTGTGGACTAGGGAACAACTTCTAAACGGTATCATAGGGACTCACTCACAAATTGTTACAAGCTTGGACATGCAGATTTCTCTGTCTCTCTCTCTCTCTCTCTCTCTTTCTTTCACACACAGTTACAGACTGCAATATTTTGATTCTCCCATTACAATGTAACAGACTGCAATATTTTGATTCTCCCATTACAATTTCATTTTACCACACCACCACAGGTGATATCCAAAAAACCAATTGGGTTGATCTCTGTGTTACAGGAGTAGTGTTTGATCATTTGTTCTAAAGTAAGAAGCTCTTCCTCCCTTCCCTTCCATGTAGGAATTAAAAAATTCCTCAGTCCATTGCATCTGGAATCCTCATGAAAATTTCAAGGTATTTTTTCTCTGGCCAAAAAGAGCCAGAAAGGAAGCAGTTGTTTTTTAAATGATTTTTGAACATATAAATTAGTCTCACATAGGAAAAAATTGTAATCCTTAGAATGAGTTTACTACTCCATGATGTGGAAAAAATATCGTTCTGATTTGGCGCTAGACAAAATATGAGTTTTGTCACTGATTTCAATGGGACCAAGATTTTACTCAAGAAATAGAGGGCTGCAATATAATTTATAAACTACTACTTATTAATCTGATATTCCATAGTGATGTTTTGATCTTTATATTTGGATAATATTGCACATATTGCAGATGACCCAGTTTACATAAAGTAATCAAACACATATAAACTGAATATATATTGAGAAAAAGATAATCTCTCATTATACATGTTTTCCCCAGATAGGGCTTACTTGAGCCCCCTTGTGGATGTGGACAGCAAGAGATCTAAAACAAACAAACAAAGCAAACCCCATGCTGGACTTACCTGATAGTCCACTGTCTCCTTTTGTTCCTTTTTCACCTATTGAACCTTTATCACCTTTTGGCCCAGGAGAACCAATTTGCCCTTTGAGGCCTTGCAAACCTGAGCTTCCTTGTAACCCTATTGTTAAATCAAGTGAAAAAGATGCAAAAACACAGGTTATTTTGCAAGTAGTTTCTTATATATGAAGTTAAAAGACACTTATAGATTTGCATGCTGCTATTCCTCTAAAAATCTCATAGTTTTTTACCAACAATGAATCCAGCCTTGATGCCCTCTTTTAACTAAATAGTATTACACCCATTTGCAAATGAAGTAACTGACATCCAGACAGGAAGCCACATTTGCTAAGGTCACTTAAGGAAAAAATAGCAGGCTAGGTATAGAATCCAAGTGTTTTGTTAAGTAATACACCACTCTAACAAATGGATAACCATGCTCTCACATGTTTTTGTTTATCTGAACATTGGATTGAGAGCCAGGAATACCTGTGTTCTCATGAAAGCTCAAATAGAAATTTGCTGCCCATCTTGGACAAATTCCAACTTCTACAGGTTGTGCCCCAGTTTCTGTATGTGCAAAATATGGATAGTCACCCATGCCTTCAGAACTGATTCATATTTGTCAAGTGCTTTGAAAATGCAAAGCACTATATCTCTATTAAGCTTTATAACAACAGTAGTGACATATATAGACTTTTGCTTGCTGTTTGCTTGCTATTATTTTGCCTGAGCAACAATTGAATAGAAAAACGCAAAGAGTGCATTATTAGATGTAATTCCACCATCTAATACCAATTACATCTAAATGCTGAATATCATTATTTAGGAAAATTAGGATCTCATCAAATGTGAGGCAATTTTATTTAGACTAATAATTCTGACATCATGTAGAGAATACAGTTCAACACAAATAGAGTTTCTGTTAAGATTTAGCATTCATGTTCAGTGACAACAAATGGGGTGATGAAAGTAGGTAAGTTATGTCCTTATTTTGACTCAAAGGATTAGTTTACTGTCAGGAATGGTAGCTTAACTTTCTGGGAATGTGTAATTTTGTAATCCTAAATACAGTAAAGGGTTGTCTACAGGGGAAGTGACCAATGTAGGTACCCTGCTATATATTTATTCCATTATAATTATGCTGGTCAATTTCCCTGTGCTGACAAGCCCTAACTGGCATTGGTTAGACATGGGAACACTGAAATACTGAACCCCCACTCCCTCTCAATAAAATCCCCAAGTTATTCATTCAGTAATTTTTAACCTGGTCACAACTAAGAATTCCCATGAATTTCAACAGAGAGGCTATATTTCAAAGAGCTGATTCCAAATTTCTATGGTAAAGGAGATTTGTTTATGCTTCAGATAAATACAGAATTCAAAGACTGTGCACTTAACTAAATGGAATCTTTAACTCATTCAGTCTGTGTCCATTTACTATCTCCTAAGGCTACAGGACAAGTTATCTGCCATTGTAAATGGATGCAACAGAGCTGTGGCTATTTGCAGCAGCAGAGAAATAATTAAATTGGTAGCAATCTTTGCAACCAATGCAGAATTCAAGTCTGGCTACATTACTTACCTCTGTCCCCATTGCTTCCTTTTGCTCCCTTTTCACCTACTGAACCTTTGTCCCCCTTTGGCCCCGGGGCACCTGCAATTCCTGGCTTGCCCTCCTGACCTGTGGTTCCTTGCAGGCCTAGAGAGTGATGAAGGAAATGAGATTCACAGCAATTTTATTATAGTGTGATTATTATTACAGTGAGCCTCCCGATGGGGATAATTCTGGGCTTTGACATTTACTTGATGATGGTCTCTGGGCTATGTCTATGTAGACAAAGCCTGAGTGAAGAATGCACAGGGAGACTTGAGCCACGTGTGGAATTTGAAATCTAGCACCATCGTGTAACCGATTATAAATATTGGAGAGAAAATCCCTCAGCTTTTTGGCGCATGGCCATCAAACGCTGCCATCAAAGCCAGATGATTCAAATGCAACTTGTATCATCCCCACATCATATGGAAATTAGAGAAAGTTATAGAAAATTGCACCTGTCCTATTGCAGAATACCCCACGATCATCGATTCCTGCATATAGCACCACTGGATTGGAAACAATCACAGAAGCATGCAGGGTAGTTGAATGACACCACTTACCTCTCTCTCCTTTGACTCCTTTTTCTCCTAGTGGACCCTTATCCCCCTTTGGCCCAGAAGGGCCTGCATTGCCTGGATCACCCTTCAAACCTGGGACTCCTTGCAATCCTGATGAAACAGATTGAAAGGGTGAAAGAGAAATGTATGTACTTGAAGACGCACCTTTAAGATCCAGATACTTGGCGGACACATGCTGACTTTAATAGCTGCTTAATTCTGGTTATTTTAATCTTTTATTCAGATTATAATCATAGCTCTTACCTCTGCCTCCAATATCTCCTTTAGATCCTTTTTCTCCTGGCGAGCCCTTCCCTCCTACCACTCCAGCAGGGCCCATCTTTCCTGGGGGACCTTGTGACCCCTTTAGTCCTTGCAATCCTAGTGTTGGGTGAAAAGAAAATCAATAGATTTAAGAAAGAAAATAATGAGTGAGTCATCAGAGATTTGCAAATGAATAGGATAAGGGTTGTTTAATTAGGGCCAAATTCTGCTTGAAATTCTACCCTGACAATTCATCCTGAAAACAAACCAGAAAAAAACCCAGAAAAAACCTGCTCCTTGAAATCTAATAATAATATATAAAGTCTGCTGAGTTTCAGTGATCATGATTAGATTGCAATTTTAGTATCAGTTCATTAACTGTCCACCTCTTCCAAGATGTCAAGATGGTTTAATGATTTATTTAAGATTAAAATATCTGTGATAGGAAATGGAAGAAACATATTGACAGGGGCAAGAGTGAAATGATATTTAATTGCAATCAATATTGTGTGAATCAAAAAGAATAGTCTCCTGTGTGTTTATTTGTTTAGGACTACAGCACAGTTTAAATTAAAGGAAGAAAATGTTGGCTGAATATTCTTGCACATTAACACACCAATCCACACTCCCTTTTTATGTATTCATGAAATCTATGGTTTTATTCAAAAATAGTAAAGGTGAGCAAAACCGTTCCAAATATCATCATGAATATATATTTGTCTGGGCATTCACAATGGAAATGCTCCTGTGACTATTTTGAACAGCCCTTTTCATTATTCACACAATAGATTCAGCAAACAATTCAGAATGTTCAAAGATAATTTGTGGACAGAAAAAGGAGAGGAAAGGAGATTTCTGTTTTCAAAACTGAAGTTATTCATGCATGGAAGGAAAAGAAAGCTGGGTGATTTACAGGAACAAACATACTGGTAAGCCAGGAAAAATAATAGAAAATACTCAGAGACAAATCTGCAAATAAAACTTTACACGAACTGTTCAGTGAGCAATTACAAAGAGTAAACTAATGTACAAATATTTTGAACTGTTTGTAGACAATGTAAAAAAAGGAATAAGGCCTGAATTATTCACATTATTCACAATGAATCTGATGACCATTTTTGGGCACCTGTTGTAAAATAATTAATTTGCTTTCCTATAATTTGTAACAAAGTGTATTAGTATTTTTATTTATTGTTAAATGAGAAACAAATTCTTAAATGTAAACCTCTATCAGAGAAAAACGTTAGTCATTAAAACTATTTTCCCCCAGAATGCATTCTGGGATTTATATTTGGAATTATGTAGTTGTGCATACCACAGAGTGATACCCTGTAACATGTCTTGATGGAGGATTTTAAATGTTCAGAGTAAATAAGACTATGCTGAAAATGAACGCAACAGTCAAATTATCTGCTGTATTTTACAGTGGGAACTCATACACCCAGAAGAGCATTTACTGATGTGGGTGGTTGCACTGAAGCTGAACAGTTCACTAAAGGGAATCTGGACCCAACTGTGTGTTTGCATGCAGCATGCACGCTTTCCCATGTGACCTTCTGTCCTGTGACGTGGGTGGTCGCACTGAAGCCGAACAGTTCACTAAAGGGAATCTGAACCCAACTGTGTGTTTGCATGCAGCATACACGCTTTCCCATGTGACCTTCTGTCCTCCTTCAACTTCTGGATATTTGGGGGAAAGAAAATTTAGACATTTTCACAGTTCTTTCTCTTGTGAGTCAACATAGAGCTACTTCACATTTGTTTTTTAAATTCTGATTTTTTAAAAAACTGGAGGAAATGGCATTTAAAAATCTGTTTCTAAGCCACGTCTAGCAGTAACACCTTTCAATCCCTGCCAACCTGGGCAGAGATCAAATTGGCAATCTAGCGATGAAAGGTTCTACAGCACTTCTTCTAATTCAGGGGCAGCCAGTCTTATAGCATAAGAAGTTTCATTTTGAATATGAACAATTCTGTCCGCGCTATCCCAACCTTTAATAATTACCAATATGAACATAAGGACTTTCAGGTTTTACATACCATATGACTAGTTGCACCTCTTAGTACATCTGTTACAGAGCTACACAGTTTGCAGGAAGTATCTTTTAAATAAGAAACAAATGAAAAAAGTACCAGCCATATGAATAGTAAGCATAACATTAGGAAGGAAATCCATCTATACCTTGGCTTCCCTTTTCTCCTTTAGGTCCTTCCTTCCCATCTCTTCCATCTCTGCCTGGTAATCCATTCTGAGCAGGTCCACATACAATTAGAGTGCATGCATTTGGATCCCATTTCTGAACACTCTGGTTTGGAATTGCATTGGATGTTTTCAACACACATATTTCTAGAGCAAAAATGGTCAGTATTGGAAGCAGCAGCATTGCTCAGGAATGCAACCTGTTGAAAAAATAAATAAATCACAGGGTTACCCTAAGAGCATTTTGACTCCATGTCATCAGTTTATAGTTCATAGGGCAAACAAAAAAATGTTTCAATGCAGATATTCTAGTTCATTTATCCTGGGCTGTCATTATTTTACAGAAAGCATCAGTGCTCATGGAAAACACTTTAAAATATTTAATTAAGATCTGTTCAGAATTTAATAAAGTTTTTCCTTTGTTCAATTATTCACAATGCAAAACCGGAACAAGCTTAATTTCAGGCCCATTATTCCGCCTACTATTTAAGTGTTTAAAGACACTTCGGGGCCTGGGCCTGGATCTTATCCAATATACATAAGATCATGAGAAGAAACCAGTGCTTACTGAGGGATGCTTAGTGACTAACTGGATTCGAAATCTGAGCATACTTGGGATAACTCCAGAAAATTCATCCCTCCTTTGTATTGTCTTTGGGGCATCACATAAGTCTGAGTTCGTGTACAATTAATTAACAATGAAAATGAACTGAACCACAGCTTAAAGGCATCAGACTACAACTCAGGAGGCTTAAAGAAGATTAGAGATATAATTGTGTTGAAAGGCACCATCCTACTAATGCACCATCTTACCTTGTTTGTACTTGGAGAAGCTGCTTTGCAAAGCTCTCAGCTGCCCTTCCAAAGCACTTACTTGTCTCTTAAGGAGGTTGATATCTGAATGAAGAAAGTTGCATGATTCTTAATATTACAATTAATAAGCAATACAGGCAAATCACAGCAGACCTGTCATTCCTACTTTAGATGTCTTAGATCTACACCTCTACACGACCAGGTTATTGAGCTAAATCTGGATCATCAAAATTTTCTATGAGATAAGAATTACACATGATGTGGCTAATCATATCCTGAAGGAAAGATTTGCATCACATTGACTTACTCCTCTTTAAAGACGGGGCTGGATTAAACATCATTACGTTATCCACACAGAATAAAGTTTGGGGACCTAAGTCTGTCACTTTGAGTGCCTAGGCTGGTCTGCCTTGGCTACATAATACTAAAATGCTTTCCCCACTGCTGCTATATTACTGAGAGGTGCCATTTTACACTTTGTAAACTATTGGAGTCAGAGGAAGATGCTTTCAGGTTATGGACTGGGGAGCAACTTCTAGATGGACACCTATTTGGGTCCCCACTGCTCCAGTTAGGGGTAGTACATAATTGCTGGAATAGGCCACAATGCTTAAGAACTAAGTGATCAACTATTTTCAAGAGAGTTAATTGGGTTGAGCCTCGCTCAGGAGTGTGGTGCATGCTGGGAAGGGGGCAATCAGGCTGAGCAGCATTGCTGTCCTAGTTCAGGGCACAACTGCAGTCCAAGCCTAGTTTTCGCTAAATGTTGGTGTGAGCAAGAACTACTTGAGAGGGTTTAGCAAAGGGCCAGTGTCATGGCTCTTTCTTCCTCATCATCCAGCAGAAAGGTTATGACTGAGTCACGGTACAGCCGAAGGTAGGTCAGTGACCATAGTTTCCCTGTGCTCTTGCATCAGTGGTGCTTGCTGAAATGCAATGGCACTGTTGTGAATAGGAACTGCAAAGGAGAGTCTGACTTAAATGGAGAGCGAGGAAAGGGTTAAGCTAATTTGGAGATGCACCTAGGGAGGGGGCTTTTGGGCACTGAGCCAATGAAATGCAGCTAAGGTATTTCAAACAAGAGAGGTTTTTTTTTCCTTTTGTTTGGAGCAAAAAGCAGGTTTCTCCCAGGTAGCCAGAGAGACGGACTTTCCCAGGAACAAACTCCTTGAAATGTGTAAGTAGAGAAAAGTTGAGATAATCATCAGGTTTTTCTTGTTTTTCTTGTTTGGGGGTTTGGAAATTATGTCTGAGCTGGTTAATTGTTTTTCTCTTTTGTAACTAAGGATTACAGCCCAGAGATTCTATCATTTCAATCCATGCCTTTAAAAACCAGTCATTTACTATTCTTGCAACAGGAGTCTTGTTTTAGTAACACGTGTTTTCTTTCTTTTGGTTATCTGCTATTGGTTGATTTTTGTATCCTTAAACCTATGTGCCTCAGTTACCCAGGAGAAGCAGAGCTCCATTGTGCTCTGCAGGTTATCTCTGTTTGGTTTCCCAACTCCAAGCAAACTGGAGGTTGGGGCAGGGGAGAGAGCTTTGCCTCAGGGAGGCGATTCCAAGTGATCTCTTCCCTGGAAAAGGGTTTTTTAAAATATATTTTTAGTTACACTTGGTGGTGGCAGAGACCAGTCTTCTTTCTTTTTGGGTCTCAGGGAAACTGAGACCGGATAAGTTTGTCTCTGGGAGTTACAGAGACAGGTTCTTGCAGAGTTTATTCTGGTAGCCAGGCCCCATATCTACACTTGAAGTGCTAGGTGGAGGAATTGAGTCATGACAGTCCCAAGTCGTGCTGAGCCATCTTTACAGTCTGGGCCATAAAGCGTGTGCGGCTCAATCTGGGGACTGCTTGCTCACAAGCTGTATTTCTCCCTTTTTGCTAACTAGCCACTTTGCAACTTAGCATCTCTCTGGAGCCAAGTGTCTGCTACAGAAAAAGGTCAGAAGAGATGAAAGATTTGTTTTGTTCAGAAAGGTGCTGCACTAGCAGCAGACTCACAAACTCTGGGCATTTTATACCTGGCAGCCAAGAAACGAACAAACGTACCAGAAAGTTGTATCTATCATACAAACCTTTTTCCCAAGCATGAAAAGAGCTAGCTCAGCACTGACATGCTTCTATGAAAGGATGAAAATCAAACCTAGAAGTACATTTGTTGAATAAGCCAAAGATGCATTTTGAGTAAAATATAAGGCTAAAAGATATGGCTAGCATTTCAGATTCAATTCCTACAATGCCACCTTCTCTATTAAATGTTAATCTCATATACTGTACAGGTATTCAGAGAGTCACACAATCATCTATTTAAAATCCCAATGTTTTAAAATAAATTCCAAATTACAAATGCTGCTCCCTGCTGAATGCAACGTAATCGTTAAAAGGACAAAATTAAAAAAGCACTTACCCTGTAATTTCAGGTGCTCTACAGCGGCATTACAGGATGAGATAGTAAGAATTCAGCTCTCAATTTATATACTATGCACTGAGTAATGTGGGTTTCTCCCCCTATCACCTTCCGGTAAACAGAAGTTATCATTTTGCTGAAGAACATTTCAACATTCCAGCTTATCTTGCAACAGTGGTGGTAGGAAAAACCAGGCACGAGAGAGGGGATTTCCCAGAAATGCGAAACAATAGGAAGAACTGAGCAGGCCAAAAAAGACTGTGGGACTGAATCCAAACAGATGCAATAGTCTGATCTCAGATATTTGCCAATTTTGGGAAAAAAGTGTGTTGTGTGTGTGTGTGTGTGTGTGTGTGTGTGTGTGTGTGTGGTTTAAGGCTGACAGGTTAAGACTCTATCTCATTGAATTTAGCAGTGTGACAGGGGCCTCTCGACTCACTGCCAGATGGTGCCTCTTCCTGGCTGTTCTGGGGATTAGCTCTGCACAGAAAATGCTCCTTCCTTCTCTTTCTGTCTCTGAGGCCCTCTTACTCCAGGAACTGCACCACCTCCTTCATGACTGGCCACTCTTGCCAGGTCACTCCATGGCTTATCCCTCGGGGGAGATGGGCATTAAAGTCCCTGCTCACCAGCACTCACAGGCATTTATCCCATGTGACCCTCTTCCTGTGGCGGGAAAGGGAATCTGGGCCTGTCATCTACTATGGGTTTGGGCTCATGGACCCTCCACAGAGCAGTCAAGGCCTATTCCTTCCTGCGCCTTGCCGCCTTTCCCTGAGCCCCTTTCTGCTCTGAGCTGCACAGTTTTATACACACCCCTCCTTTCAAGTGTCCTCATTGGCTGTTTAACTGGGTCATTGGGCCTAATTAGGACACCCCTCACAAGAAGTAAAGCCAACATCTAAGCTCTCCACAGAAAGGAAATAATCTCAGCAATATACCGAGCCCGAAAAGCTTTCTGTATTCCAATCAATGGTGTATACCACAGGTTTGTCTCTCACCACACACTTTTGTCTCAGACAAATGGATGCCAGCCAAGCAATTTCCCACTGGATATTTTTGAGAATTAACATCCTCCTGAGTCCTTATTTCTCTGGATTTGGCCGAGAAGATCTTAAAAAAAATCGCTGGACCCTTCGGCCATTTCTGGAAGCAAACAGGAAAAGAAAAGTCCGATTGAAATTCTGTAAGATGTGGACAGGGCTTTGTTATTCTGGGGCTGGGTCACAGCTGGAAGGAATGCTGTGCCCTTGGCGTTGATGCTTTGGGAGCAGAGGTGCCGCTCTGCAGAGACAAGAGGTGTGGTTTGCTTGGATAAGAGCCCCAACATTTATCTGCTTCTCTGGACCATGCCATTGCTAGACTTCTTAGAGTTGTGTCCATCACAATCAACTGCCTTAGGAGTTTGCAGTGGCACAAATCAAGGCTTCTGCCCCTGAGAGCTCTTATAGAAGTACAGCCCAGGAGAATACAGGTGTGGCTTGGCTTTTTGTAAATTTCAAAAACAATTCCCTCATGTCTTTTTTTAAATTATTTGGCTGATCTCCAGTCCTTCATATAAAAAATGGTCTGAGCTCGATCATATAGTTGTTGTAAATACATCATGCTATCTCCCAGTACGGTAAGTATTGTCCTTCCACAGTGCCTTCCAACCAAGTGTCTTCTAGGTGCCTTACAACAAGGAACCTTCAGGATATCTCAGGGAGTATTGTCTCTGTTTTGTCAAACAAAAGGGTTCCTATCACCGTAATCTAACGTGAGGTTGCTAGTTCAGTGACCGCATTTGCAGAATCATAGAATACTAGGACTGAAAGGGACCATGAGAGGTCATTGAGTCCAGTCCCCATACCTCATGGTAGGACTCAATAGTGTCTAGACCTCCCTGATAGACATGTATCTACCTACTCTTAAATATCTCCAGTGATGAAGATTCCACACCCTCCCTGGGCAATTTATTTCAGCATTTAACCACCCTGACTATTAGGAAGTTTTTCCTAATGTCCAACCTAAACCTCCCTTGCTGCAGTTTAAGCCCATTGCTTCTTGTTCTCTCCTCAGAAGCCAGGAAGAACAATTTTAGAAGTGCTGGGCATCCCAGAGTTTCAAAACTGATTAGTGATGCTGGGTCCCCAACCTCAGGCACTTTAAAATGGCCTGATTGTCTGGCAGTGGGATGCTCAGCATTTCCTGAAAAACAAGGCCCTTTCCGGTGTCTCAGGTTGTGTACTGAAAACTAAAAGCACCCCAAAAATCACTCATGACTTTTAGACATTTGTCCCCAGCTGTTCTCATTGTGGTGAATACTCAGCACCTTTGAAAAAAATCAGGACACCAATGTAGGTACCTAAAAGTGGATTTAGAAGCATCACATTAGGTTCTCACATTTAAAAATCCTTATTTAAACTTCAGACCCAAATTTGCACGTGGCATCTCTGGTGGCTCTAGGAATAAGTGCCCAGATCTCAATCCTCACAGTTATTTAAATCACCTTCCCTCTCATGAGAAATCTTTTCAACAAAATTGCTTTCAACTTTCTAATCTGACATCTAATAACCACAGCTTCAAAGCTTTGTGATAATCCTGAATAAAAAAATGTACCCATTGAAACTAAGGCACATACATGAGCTTGTTGACAATACTACTCAGATCACAAATAAGAGAATTTGCACTAATACCAAAAGAAATGGAAAGAGAAACTGACCTAGTCTAAAAAAAATTATAGTACAGAACTCAAGCAAGTGTGCTAGTCTGATCCCTTGAATATTTACTAAGCTTTGAAAAAATGGATTGCCGTTGATAATACAAAGTGTACATATAGCCCTGGTCTATACTAGGACTTTAGTTCGAAATAACCCCCTTCAGGTCAAATTTATAAGCAGAGCATCCATGCTTCCATTATTTCTCAATAACAGGCCACTTAATTTGAAATCTGTACTCCTGCTTTTCATCAGGAATAACGCTAATTCCAAAATACAGGTTGAACCTCTCTTAACCGGGTTTCTCCAGTCTGGCAACCATGGATATTCCTGGACTACAGAACCCAAGAACAGGGAGGTCTGGTAGCGGGAGCATGATAAGGGGGACCAGCGACTAAGCCAGAAGCCCAGTGTCAAGCGTGGGGAGGGGGGCACGGTATGGTGGGGAGTTTTGGCCCCAGTGGCTGGGAAGCTCTGGCCGTGGCCAGGGAGTTCCGACCCCAGCCACAGCTGTGCAGCTCTGGCTTCAGCCCCAGCTGGGGACATGGTGTCCTGGTCATGGTCATGGAGCCAGCAGCTGCAGAGCTCCATCCCTGGCAGAAGCAGAACCGATGGCAGCTAGAATGTCCCAGGGGCTGGGGCAGCAGCAGGGCCAGGTGGGAGCCCAAGTCCAGTGGCATCAGGGCAGCATGGGCCATGAGGAGAGGGACCTTCCTTGGTATGTCTGGCAAATCCCCTTATCTGGGACTGGTCTGGTCCTGAGGGTGTCGGATAAGAGAAGACCAACCTGTACTTATTTCAAAATAGTGATAGGGTGGATGCTTCGGTGCTGCTATTTCAAAATAATTACTCCCCAGAACAATTCGAACTAAGGTCTCCCCAGAGCTCTCAGTACGAGGTAGCACATCCATGTTAACAGAGCCTGCCTTGGACCATAGTGTAGACACGTTAGTTCAAATTTGTTAAATCAGGAATGATTAAGTTGAATTTAGGAACTTTTAAATATTTTCCTAGTGTAGACATGGCCATATTGAGTCTGGATTTTGTTTTATTCTTTATTTGTTTTCTCTATAAACAGTACAAGTTGAGTTATCCAATACTTTAATATCCAGAAAATGTGGTTAACTTGCATCTGTCATAAATGGCATACAATTCCTTCTTCAGTTAACCAGAAAAATTCCAATAGCCATCCTGCATCATTTTTTGACATTTTCCACTGCTGGTGGAAGTCAAGTTTGTAAACTTGCAGCAGTAAAGTTTGTTTGTGTCATGCTTCTGTGTATAATACCATTATTGGATATTATCTAATCCATCCTGCAGCTATGGCTAGTGTATGGTGAAAAGCTCAAATAACCAGCACCTTTGATTAACTAGGAACCCTCATTCCCCATGAATGTTGGTTAATAAAGCTGGTATAGGTTGAAACTCTAAATTCTGTGACTCTGTGGTCTGGCAACCTCTGTGGTCCGGCAGGACCATGAATATTGCTGGACCAGAGAGCCCCAGCTGGCCAGGTTCAGAAGGATACTCTGGGCTGGGCTGGCAGTAGGGGAACCCAGCCCCAGAGAGGCCAGCGCGGTGGAGAGCACAGGCCTGGCCAGGGCTGGCACAGTGAGGAGTGCAGTGTGGACTGGAGCTGGTTTGGCGGGAAGCATAGCCTCAGTCGGGGCTGGCGCGATGCAGGAGCACAGCCTGGGCCAGTGCTGTGGTGGGGGTAGGGCCGGACAGAGGCATGGGTGAACTGAGCAGCTGCCCAGGGCACCAACTGATGAAGGGTACCTGCTGGCAGCTGTAAGGGGCGCGCGGCGTCCCTTACAGCTGCCATCAGGAGCCGCGAGCCTGGCTCCTGCAGCGCCGGCCCCGCAGCGCCAGCAAGCAGTGCCCTTCCCCCTATGGCTGCGGGGCCCTGCATGGCCCTGCACGTGCGCCAGCAGCACTGGCCAGGCTGGCCTGGGCAGTGCATGCGCCGTGCACCCCGGGGGCAGGCCCCGGGCTGTGCGCCAGTGGTCGTGACCTGCCCACGCATGCGCCGAGTGCCCCGGGGGCGGGCCCTGGACTACGCACCAGCAGCCGTGGCCAGCACATGCATGCACTGTGTGCCCTGGGGGGCGGGCCCGCGTGCCCAGGCCCAGGGCGCCAAAAGGGCTCAGGCTGGCCCTGGGTGGGGGGAGGGGAGGAAGGTGGATGAAGTCTTTTCTGGGGCTGGAAGCAGCAGGGCTGGCCCCTGTCTGTGGCTGGCAGGGTGGGGGATGCCACCATGGCCACCGTGGAATGAGGTGTAACAGTTAATTCGAACTAAGGACTTAGTTCAAATGAACTTTTAACCGCCGCGTGTAGCCACGGGCAGTTAGTTCGGACTAAGGGGATTTTAAAATGGCGACTGGACGGGAAGATGCAAATCAAGCCCAGAATATTTAAATCCCGGGCTTCATTTGCAACTTTGAATGCCCACATTAGCCTCCCTAGTTCGAACTAGGGGGCTAGTGTAGACATACCCTGATAGTTGGGAAGGAGAAGATGAGCAGCGGTGACCCATTATGTGGGCCGGTGGCCCCTCCCCTTCCTGAAATGGGGCGTGGAGGAATTGGGGTCTCCGGGCTTGGGCCGTCCCAGACAGGAAGAGGCACCGGCTTACTTCCACCTCTCTTTTAGACCTTGAAAATAGACTGGCAATTTTTACTTCCATACCTGCTCTCGCCTGTGTTTTACCTTCCACCCCCACTAGTCTCCTTTCCTGACCCCCCACATGCTCAAACACTGCTCCCCCGTACTTCTAGTCCTCTGACCTGAGCCATCCACATCCCCGAGCCCTTGCTTTGACTCTTGCTCCCCTTACACCTCCCATCCCAGCAACACTTGGTAAATCTTCTGGTTTACTCATAAAGCTAAGTCTCTTTCTGGTGGAACTTTGTGCAACAAAATGGTGATCATATGGCCTTTTGCGTAAGAGACAACCATGCTCCGTATTCTCTGTCACTTCCCCACCATAGTTGCTTTTATTTGTCTGAAACTATGTAGGTATCAATTTCTTACATAACAAATAGTGTTCTACAGTTTTAACAGCTCAGTACACAAATCAAAGCAATTTGATTGTTTCATTTCAACAAAATGGTATCACCCACCATAGAAATAGCAGCAAGATTCAGTGTAGCTTTACCTTCATATCAGTGTTGCAACACAGTACTCAATATGTGAAATTATAGTAAATCAACAAGCGTATAGAATTATTTAAATAGCAAGCCCACTCACACCCACTCATTTTACTGAAAACAACGAGGAGAGGGAGACTAAAATTCACAAATTATTAACCGGCTTTCATTACAGGCTCTGTCATTCCAACTGCCATCAGGATATATTTCCACACAGTGTTCAGTTCCAAAAGCATTATTTGGTTCATTTGGAGCCCAATTTGAGTATCTGATACCTTCACCACTTAGATACTTAAATGTGCCTTCTGTTTCTCTATCGGTTATTCCAATAAATGCTGCTGTGTTATGATGAGCTACTATTTGTTGTATGGCACTGTTCTCTGCAGAATTCCTTGGAGATGCAAGCAGGCCACCAGCTTGAGAGCACTTGGCTTTGGCGGTCTCCAGTCACCAACAGAACCAATGGCTCTGAACGTTTTTTCAACAGCACTAACACCGTTTCCAAAAGAATGAACTAGAAATGCACAAAAGGACAGTACGTGTAAGTTACATATTTTCACACAATTGTTTACACCATAAAAACGGATGCTAGGGGCCTGGTATATGGTGCAGTTATTTTTGTTGATTTATTCTGTTGGCTATCACAATCTCAGAAAAAAATATTAGCTTGAGGTTCACACAGTATTCTTGGGTTTTTGCGTACCAGTAAAGACATAAAAACATGCTAGATCAGGTTCAAACTGACCACTTCCAGAATTTATTTTCCTAGAGATTATAGTGGGTATTCCACACAGTGCCCAAGTATGAATACAATGAACCAGTGCAAGTCTAAAATACTTCAATGTTGTCAGGTACAGCGTTCGGGAAGATCACTGCAATACTTTTTATGAGGCCAGGCCCTAGCACTTGATACAGCACATGGCGCAGTTCTGTCATCATTCGCTTATCTCATTTGGAATTTATGCCTCTTCTTGTAGGTCAGAGTCAAGGGCCTGCTCTTGTTCCAGATGAAGTAAATGGGAATTGAAGAGCAGAATGAGGCCTCATGTGCTGTTGATTTCAGAGAGTGGTTGTCTCCTGCTGTTCTTTTTAGTTACAAAATAAAGAACATTTCAGGCACAAAGTAGATCCTACCGAAGCTGCACCATCTCCGCTCCAGGGTACATTGGATGGGATTCTTTTAGTACAAGATCCCAGGGCTGTATCCACATGATGGACTCCTCTAATCACCCCAGCGTGGACACCTGCTTAGGCTTCTTATACACGCTAGAGGTTGGACTTGTACTTCTTATATAGCAGAATTGAACTACTTTACTAAATTATCCAGCAAGTACTGTACATAGAAGTTTGGAGTATGAACAAATAGCAAGGAGCCAAGATAAGACACCAAATAGGAACCTTTTTAACTCTGAGGAAGTAGAGATCTAGATCTGCATCCCTTTGGATGCAATTGGCCCAATTATTTCGTTTAGGCCAGTCTCTCAGTGATAGGAATGAACAGCACTTAGTTTGTCTTACCTGTTTGGATGCTTCTCACAGTAGCTACCAGGGCTGTCAAGTTTTCTTGCAAATCCCTTATTTCACTTTTTAAAAGCTCAAGCTCTGAAGGATGAAACAACGGCATTGTTCTTACTGTGTCACACTAAAATATGGAAGGTTTCCTAAAAGCTTTAATATTGTCAGAGAAATTATCTCCAGGACTAGCAATGAGCACAGGGGTAACATGAGAGATACTGCTTTGCATTTCTTGTTTCCTTAGGAAGATGAGATGAATTTAAAACTGATCTGTTGATGTCACACACTCAAAGGAAGGCAAAGGGAAACCCATTACTGTGGTGTTTTCTCCAACAGGATGCTGCTTTTTCTGACTAACTTGCACCGATCTGGCCGGCTTATTCTTACTGCTCCTGCCCACCAGACTGCCTGGCTTCCCCAGGTTCCATCTCTGAAAACTTCTCCCTCTGTCAGAGAAGCAGTGAAGCCCAACTAAAACAGTCATGGAATGAAAACTATTGAAACTACCATACAACCCCTCTGTCTGACCTATAGGGTTTCTTCTTTACCCTCTTTGAACGGGAGCGCTCTGCTGACCTGTGCCATTACAGTCTCCCTTTGGTCCTTGTTCACCTCGGTCTCCTTTGGGTCCAAGGGATCCATCCCTTCCGGGAAGACCTGGCATCCCTCTTAATCCTTGCAATCCAGTGTGTTTATTCAGAGAAAAGGAAGAGAGAAAAATAAAGTGAGTCAGCAATTGAATTGGTACATATTGTCAGAGTATGCAATTCCTGTCAACACTCGAGTTGAACAAAGATTAGGTGAACAAAAAGAACATAATGAATTTTGGTCACATCCTGATCCAGATCCAAGCTTCAGGGCTCTGCCTATTGTTCAAATATCTGAAAAATGCTCAGAGGTTTGGTTCGGATTCACTTCTTTATGAAAACATTAGAGTGTTTGAGGAATTCTTAGTGTTAGGCGCTAGAGGATATTATATATTTAGAAGTATCCAGTTTCAATTTGTAACTCTTACTTGATTTTGGACGATACTATTAGTTTCATATTATTATTTTTAAAATTAGCAAATAATTAAGGAACTCCAGATATTTTTTGCTTGACAAATCTTTTTGCTCCAGTTCCAAAGCTACATGATTTGAATTGTGCCTCTGTTTTATCCATTTTTTTAAAACTATCTATCAGATCAACAGGTGAATTGCAAATAAATATTTCCGTACCTTGATCTCCCTTTTGCCCTTTAGGGCCTTCTTTTCCATCTTTTCCTGGTAACTCATTTTGAGCAGGTCCACACACAACTAGTGTACATGCATTCGGTTCCCACTTTTGGACAACCGGAGCTGGAGTGGAGTTGGAAGCTGTGACCAGAGTTAACACCAACAGAATAGTGTCGAATATTGGAAGCAGCAGCATTGTTTGATTCCTAGCCTGTGTAAAATCATTAAAAGAATTACTGCAAAGGCATTCTGAGTGCAAGTAAGATCGTTATAGTGCTTTGTTATATTTTTTATTAGCGCTTCTGTGACCATGAAAATATTCTTAGTTATTTTTTACTCAGATCTCAATCAAGTAATCATCATTTCTGGAATTTGTCCTCCTCTAGTCTTCAGTTATGTCCGATTAGGTTGCTTGCAAACATATTCCTTTTTAAGTTTACTAGATGCTTGCTTCTAAGAAAGTGATTTGTTTTCAGTCCTTCACAAGTGCACTGGTGATAGAATGCAAGTGAGTACCAGAGCTGGATCATCATTTCTGTATTTACACTTACAATTACAGCTATCATCTTTCATTTCAAAGCTAAGTTGGGAGTGGACTCCCCGACTTACCTGCTAACGATTTATAAAATTACTTCAATTTCCTAAATGAACAGCATAAAGAGTTAGACGAGATGTATTTTGTTGTACACTGAACAAAATAGCTGCATAAAACCATGACTGATATTTTTCAGATTAACATGAACTGTAACATAATGTAACTAAACTCTGAATAATGTGGAAATAAACAGAATTTTACTTTTTCATATATATAAATAAAATATGTGAAGTAAATTTCTATCATAAGCTTTTTACAAAAAAGTACAACTTTACCATTAAAGAACAAAATTAAAAGAGAAAGCAAATATACCATCCAATTGCTTATTGTGCAGTTCCTGGTTTTCTTGAAAAAGCATTTGCAAGAATAATGTACTATGAGTCTGAGGCGCTATTTATATACAACACCTTCGACAACATGACCTTCGATTTTTTTTTCTTACATAAATAAGCGCTCCTATTTACTGTAAGTGGGGATAGCTGAGAAACCAGTTTCTAGTTCATGGCTTCATAGGCCTTTATCCTTTTTATTAAGGTTTAAAGTACAAAGAATTAATTTTTCTGCTTGGCAAAACACAAAGGAAGAACTGAATGAACAGCAACTTTGACTTAAGAAGAACCTCTGTGAAAACAATGAACATGTGATGTGCAGCTGACAAATTATCATTATATAAACTACATATTAATATCTGATAATCTAGGATATCACTGACCCGGTCAATAAATCAACTAAAAAGTTCACCTAGAACATTGATAATTCTGAAGAAATTCTTTTATACAATGGCTCAAAAAGATTTGTTTGTATTACCTAAGTAAGAGCTATGTGTACTTCAAAAGCTCATCTTCTTTATCAACAGAAGCTGTTGCAATAGAAGCTGTTTCCCATTTTATTTTTCTGATAACGCATGATACCATCTACATGTTTTATTAGTCTTTAAAGTGCTACCAGACTATTTGTTGTTTTTTAAGTGCTAAAATTGTTATTAAACTATGAATTTTGGGCTTTTTCTTCTCCCATTGATGTCAATTGTTCAAAATTCTGGTCCCTTGATTTTAATTTGACATTTACAAAACCTCTTCTCCCATGAGACCTTATTTGCAGCTTCACAAAGGGCTTCCTTTTTGTTCATATTACAGCAGCTCCTGGGATGGGACAATCATTGTATTTTTGTTCTTTGAACTAGATGCAAACAAAGCTTGAATAGCGACGATACTCTTTCTCAAATATGTCTTGGAGTGACTATAACAGCAGCTTTGCACACTTTATCACAGTGCGGAGCACGTTCCAATGGAGCAAATATTCATGCAGAATATTAATATGAAGAAAGGTCTTTTAATTTCTTTTCATCTGATTGAGCTGAAGGAAGAGAGTCAACACTCTAGAACAAGCCATCTTTCCTCAGACCCTCCATCAGGAACCCACAGCCCTTCTACAAGAGATGAACTTGCAAAGCTTTGAGTTGCTCTACATCAAGATCCCTAACTCCCATCTCAAAATAGTATAGGACATGACCTTTTTTTCTTATGTTCAATGCAATTAACCTTTTGTGTTCATTAAAAATATCACACGAACTCTTGGTTGACTTGCAGTGCAATCACAAATTTTACATATTATGAGCTTTACTCAGCATTGCTCATATTGCTAACTCATAGAAGTTTTGTTTTTCTTCGTTGAAATAATTGTTCTGAGTTTAGATGCATGAGTCCATACATCAAATCCTCAGAGATCTCAGTAGAGGTGTGAGCCTTTGTCCAGCTATTTCATTTTTAAATTTGATTAAACTGGCCTACGGCACAGTGTTTTATGACCAAGATAGACAATACAATAGTCGCAGATGTTTAAATAGCTTATGGTGGAAATAAGAGGACTTCTGGAAATGGTTATTGAAAAATGTCCATCTATTTTATCAGGAATCTAACAATAAGGCATGAAATAGTTAATAAGTGGTTGTTAAAATGTGTGATTTTTTGTTACTTCCCCTGTTGATGGGGAAAAAGGAGACAAAACAACCACGTTATCATGCAAACGTGGTTGTCTGCATTTGCATTTCACTCCATATACCTGAGCCCTTGCTCTGACTCCTGCTCCCTCTACACCTCCATCCCAAGCAACACTGGGTAAATCTTCTAGTTTACTCATAAAACTAAGTCTCTTTCTGCTGGAACTTTGTGCAACAAAATGGTGGTCCTGGGGTTCTTTACATAAGAGTCAACCCTGGTCCGTATTCTCTATCAGGCCCCCATCATAGCTGCTTTTATTTAAGTCTGAAACTATGTAAGGATCAATTTCTCACATAACTTGTAGTGTTCTTCAGTTTTAACCAGCACAGTACAAAAAAATTTAAGTGGTCTGATTGGTTTATTGAAACAAAATGGTATTGCCCACCATAGAAAGAGCAGCAAGAGTCAGCATATCTATACCTTTATATCGCTCATGCGGCACAGTATTCAATATGCAACACTGTAGTAAATCAACAAGCTTATAGAATTATTTAAGTAGCAAGCCCACTTTCACCAACTAATTTTAATGAAAACCACAAGGACGGGGAGATTTAAATTCACAGATTATTAACCGTTTTTCATTACAGAGTAAGTCATTCCATTTGCTATCAGGAAACATTTCAACACAGTTTTCATTTCCATCAGCATTATTTGGTTCATATGCAGCCCAATTTGAGTACCCTACAGATTTACCATTTAGATACTTAAATGTGCCTTCTGTTTGTATCCTGGTTACTCCAATAAATGCTGCTTTGCTTTGTTGAGCTACTATTTGTTGGATGGCACTGTTCTCTGCAGAATTCTGTGGAGAAGCAAGTAGGCCACTAACCTGAGAACATGTGGCTTTGGCAGTCTCAAAGTCACCGACAGAACGACTGGGTTTGAACATTTTTTGGCCAGCACTAACACCAGTTCCAAAGGACTGATCTAGAAACGCGCAAAAGTACAATACATGTCAGTTAACATGTATTCATATATTTTGTTACACTAGAATAGTATTGTTATTTTGGGTAGCAATAAAGAAATATGTTCAGGAGGCGTCAGTTTGTACCTTGTCTAGCTTGGTGTTATTGTCCTCCTAATGAGCATGATGTATATGCTACACAATACCGGAGCATGAACACAGTGAACCAGTGCTAGCCTAAAATACCAAGTATAATATTGGAAACATCACTGAAGTACTTTTTATGAGGCTAGACCCCTTTTGCTTGATACAGCACATAGCATAGTCCTTTCATCCTTCTCTTATCTCATTTGGAATTTAAGCCTCTCATAGGTGAGAGTCAAGGTCCTGTTCTTGCTCCAGATGAAGTAAATGGGTATTGAGGAGCAGAATGAGGCCTCGTGTGCAGTTCATTTCAGAGAGTGGTTGTCTTCCACTGTTCTTTTTAGTCACAGAACCAATCAAAGAAAATTTCAGGCACAAAGTAGATCCAACCAAAGCCGCGCCATATCAGCTCCAGTGTACTTTGGATGGGATTAATTTAGCACAGTAGCCCAGGGCTATTTCCACATGATGGACTCATCTAATCACCCCAAAGTGGAGACCTGCCTAGGCTGCCTATACACATGAGAGGGCTGGAGTTGTATTTCCCATATAGTAGAACTGAACTACTTTACTAATATATCCAGCAAGTACATAGAAGTTTGGTTTATGAACAAATACCAAGAAGCCAAAATAAGACGACACCAGATAAGAACCCGTATTCACTCAGAGGAAGTAAGGATCTAGCTCTTCCTCTCTTTGGATGCAATTGACCCAATTATTCCCTTTGGGTCAATCTCTCAGGGTACCTCTAAGTAGTTGGGCTATTTTGGGATACCAGAAACCCCATGTCTTTTAAACACGCCCATTATTTTGAAATATTTTTCGAAATAACAGAAGCACTATTTCAGCATCCCTGTAACCCTCGTTCCACAAGTTTTAAGGTACGTGTCAAAATAGCGTGATATTTTGAAATTTAATGCTGTGCAGATGTGCCAAATTTCAAAATAAGTGATTTCAAAATGCAATTGAAATCATATAAATAATTGCGTATTTTATTTCGTGTTTCGGTTGCTATATGGATGCACCCTCATTAACAGGAACAAACAGTACTTTGTTTGTCTTACCTGTTTGGATTCTGCTCACTGTAGCTATTAGGGCCGTCAGGTTTTCTTGCAAATCCTTTATTTCACTTTTTAAAAGCTCAAGCTCTGAAGGAAGAAACAATGGCATTGTTCTTACCGTGTCACACTAAAATATGGAAGGTTTCATAAAAGCTTTAATATAGTCAGAGAAGTTATCTCCAGGACTAGTAATGAGCACAGGTAGAACATGAGAGAGATTGGTTTGCATTTGCATTGGTTTGCATCTCCAGAAGAGAGCATACAAATTTTAAACTGAAATGTTGAGGCCTCAGCCCAAAGAAAGGCAAAGGGAAACCCATTATTGTGGTGTGTTCTCCGATAGGATGCTGCTCTTTCAGACTAACTTGTATTGACCTGGCAGGCTCACTCCCTTGCCACTCCTGCAAATCAGACTGTCTGGCCTCTCTAGTGTCCATCTCTGAATACCTCTTCTGTCAGACAGCAGTATTTCATTTCATGCAATGAAAACCATTCAAACAGCCATACAACCTCTCTATCTGCCCTGTTGGGCTTCTTCTTTACCTGCCCTCAAAGGAAGTGCTCTGCTGACCTGTGCCATCACAGTCTCCCTTTGGTCCTTGTTCACCTCTGTCTCCTTTGGGTCCAGGGGATCCATCCCTTCCGGGAAGACCTGGCATCCCTCTCAATCCTTGCAATTCAGTATGTTTATTCAGGGAAAAGGAAGAGGGAAAAATAAAGCAAGTCAGCAATTGAATTGGTACGAGTTGTCAGAGTTTGCGATTGCTGTCCTTAGAGCTGCATGAAGATTAGGTGAACAAAAAGAACATAGTGAATTTTGGCAAAAGGTTACATCCTGATCCAGATCCAAGCTTTAGAGCTCTACTTATCATTTGGATATCTGAAAAGTGCTCTGAAATTTGGTTTGGGTTCACTTCTTTATACAAATATTAGAGTGTTTGAGGAATTCTTAGAGTTAGGTGCTTGAGGATATTATGTATTTAGAAGTATCTAATTTCAATTTGTAACTCTTACTTGATTTTGGACAATACTATTAGTTTCATATTATTTTTAAAATTAGCAAATAATTAAGGAACTTCAGATATTTTTTGCTTGACAAATCTTTTTGCTCCAGTTCCAAAGGTACATGATTTGAACTGTGCATGTGTTTTTATCCATTTTTTTAAACTATAAATCAGATCTTCATGTGTACTATACATAAATATTTCTATACCTTGGTCTCCCTTTTTCCTCTTAGGGCCTTCTTTTCCATCCTTTCCTGGAAATCCGTTCTGAGGAGGTCCACACACAACTGCTGTACGTATATTTGGTTCCAACTTTTGGAGAACCTGAGCAGGAATTGAGCTGGAAGTTGTCACCAGAACTAACACCAAGACAAAAGTGTTGAATATTGGAAGGAGTGGCATTGTTCTATTTCTAGCCTGTGTAAAATCATTTAAAGAATTACCATAAAGGCATTGTCTAAAGGCATAGCATATGTTGCTATAATAGACATTTATAATAGACATTGGCTACATAACTGAAAACAAACAAATCTTAGGTTATAAAACATTTATAAAATATTTTTTATTCAGCGCTTCAGTGCTCATAAAAATATTTTGTAACTATTTTTTACGCAGATTTCAACTAAGGGCCTCTAATTGCTGGAATTTGCCCTGCTGAAACCCTCACCCCCATGAACTGATACAAAAAATCACCAGTCTTCATTCCAGGAAAGTTACTTTTTTCAACCCTTCACAAGTGCACTGGCGATAGAATGCAAGTGAATATCAGAGCTGGATTATCCTTTCTGTGTTTGCACTTGCAATTACAGCTGTCATCTTTCATTTCAAAGCTAAGTTGAGAGTGAACTCCTCGACTCACCTGGTAATGATTTATAAAATTACTTCTATTTCCTAAATGAACAGCATAAAGCATTGGAGAAGATGTATGTTGTTGTACACTGAACAAAATAGCTGCATGAAACCATGACTGTTATTTTTCAGATTAACATAAACTGTAACCTTAAACTTTGAATAATGTGGAAATAAACAGAAATCTACCTTGTAATACATGTAAATACAATATTTGAAGATAATTTCTATTATAAGCTCTTTACAAGAATTGTACAACCCTTACAAATAAAGAACACAATTAAAAGAGAGAGCAAATATACAATTACTTATTGTGCAGGTCCTGGTTTTCTAGAAAAAAACATTTACAGGAATAAAATACTACAAGTTGGAGGCTCTATTTATATACTACAAATTAAACAACATGAGCTTTGGTTTCTCAGCTATCCTCATTTAGAGTAAATAAGAGCTTTTATTTATTTAAGAAAACAAATAAGTTTTGAGTCAATGACTTCATAGACCCATGATAAAAAAGCTAAATTACAAAGAATTAAATTTTTCTTCTTGGCAAAACACAAAGGAGGAACTGAACCAACAGCAACTTTGACTTATGAAGAACCTCTGTCAGAACATTGATTATGTGATTTGCAGCTGATAATGTAAAGATATATAAATTGCACATTAATAGCTGATAACCTTGGATTTCTCTGACCCAGTCAATTTAAAAGTTTACCTAGAACAAAGGTAATTCTGAAGAATTTCTTTTATAGAATGGCTCAGATAGATTTTGTTTGTGTTACCTAAACAACAGCTCTGTGTATCTCGAAAGCTCATCTCTTTTATTCACAGAAGTTAGTCCAATCAAAGCTGCTACCCATCTTGTTTTTCTGATATCATGGGACCAAAACAGCTACAATATTGCTAACAATTTTCACTATTTATATTAGGCATTTTCTTGTCTCTCTTTGTGGGTATGCCTACACAGCAAAATTATTTCAAAATAACAGCCATTCCATTATTTTGAAATTAAATCGAAATAGCGGAGGGCTTATTTTGAAATTGATAAACCTCGGTCCACAAGGAATAATGCCAATTTCCCAATGTGTTTTTACCAGTCCTTATTTGTATGGAAGTGAAAAGGCCACTGTGTTTTTACCAGTCCTTATTTGTATGGAAGTGAAAAGACTAAAAAAAGTTCATCATCAGAAAGCCTCCCTGACAGCACTGAAAACAGATGCGGAAGTTCTCTTCTGCAGATGCAGTGGTTTACGTTGCTTTGATAAACATCTTCATGCCTCCTCAAACCTAAGCTCTGACTCCGTAGGCCACGTGTACGTAATATCGACAAATGCAGGTCATTTATGACAAAATCCACCCTTGGACCTCTTGAGCTTAGTGCATGAGCCTCTACCACATAAGCTAAATGTCAGCTGGTTCCCAGCTAAGGCTGTATGCAGAACAAACGCGTTACGCTCTCTAGAAGTGGTCTCAGTGCCACAAGATGGACAGCACATCATACCGTGAAGGTGTGTGGGTTACATCTACACGAAGAGAAAAAGGGGCCTTAACATTTCTAGACTACTGAGTTACAATCCTAATGAAGATTAGGCAGTCATAGCTATAGTACAGGGGTGTCCAAACTTTTTTCAAAGAGGGCCAGATTTTATGAAGTGAACATGCGTGAGGGCCGACCATTTTGCCTGACATTCTTTGAACCATTAAAATTAAACGCAAATTAACTATTTTATGCAAAGTTTATTGCAAACGGCATACTTTTCATTTCGTCACATGGATGACAAATCTAAACAGGTGTTAAATCACTCTGCCTTTCATATCTGAAGGCCAGATGAAAAAAAATCCAGGAAGCTGAAATATATGTCAGGAACATTGTAAAGTACATTACATATTATTGGTAATAAAGGTTGTCTGTCAACTTTTAAGTTAAAAAAAATATGAAAAGGGACATAACACCAAGTATACAAGTTGTGTCCAAATATATTTATAACTGATTTAGACCAACTGACATTAACTGAGATTTTACAATGTATTCATCTCAATACATATGGATTCGTTGGGGGCCATAAAAGATAGACATTGCCAAATTACCTGTGGGGCCGTATTAAACCAGAACACGGGCCGCAATTGGCCCCCGGGCCGGAACATTAACTGATTGATATGGAGCCAGGACTCCCTACTAGTGATCATGTGGACCAGCAAAAACAAGTTTTGCTGCTATCTTTACAATAAATGTAAACTTGTTTAATTATGCTTTTTTCTTCCTGTTGAAGACAAGGCCAGGTTTGACCACATTATCTAATTCATGTTGAACAGCCAGTAAGACAGAGGGCAACAAAGAATAATTTAAATTACATCATCAGTTTTTCCATAAGTCCTAGTCCCACTGCAAAAGACCAAAAGGGTCTAACACACTAAAAAGGACCTTCTATCATGAAGAATAAATGAAGGGCTAGTGGATTTGTCCAGATTACCTTATAAGAAGTGTTCCTGAAACTCAGTGGACTGCTTTCTGCAATGATGCTGAAGAAAATGTTTATTCTTCCAGCATGGTTCACATGAATGAATTGTTGAAAATAATACCTGTGGCTCGTGTTTGCAGATATGGATATGGATACGGATACTAATTTTGTATCCGTGTAGGCTCTACTGACAGCATCTGTCAGCAGGCAATCAATTTCCTAGTGTAGATAATGTTACAGATCAGTCCAGAACTCTAAAAAATAGAGTTCCAAAGCATTCTTTCTGGCATCTTTGTCTAGCTCATGTTGCAGCTGAAGAATATGGTGGAAGACAGGGCTCCAAAAAAGACTATTTTTAAAGCATAAATAAGTAAATGTAAAACATTCCCCTGATACTGTCGACAAAGCCTCTTTCGAAAAAGAATGTCTAGACAACAGCCAGTTCTGTCGACAAAGCAAACCGCTTTTTTGACAGAGAGTCTAGATGCTCTCTTTTGAAAAAGCAGTGTGGATGCAATAGCACCTTTTTTCAACATAACTGTCAAAAAAAGGCATCATTCCTCGTAGAATGAGGTTTACTGCCATAGACAAAACTGCCACGTTCTGTCAACTTACTGTCGACAGAACTCCGCGGTAGTGTAGATCCAGGTATAGTTTTGTCGACAGAAGTCCACTTTTGTCGACAAAACCATGTAGTCTAGACACACCCTCAGTAAGTGAAGCTCCTGCAAAAATAATGAAATGAAAGCGCAATCGATATACCCATAATCGTGGTCTAAATGGAGAGATGTAAAATTTGTGTGTTTATTTATGTGATCCCATTTAAAAAATAAATTCAGTGGTTAAATGGGTTTACTTGCCACCAAACAAGTGTTACACCACTAAAATTTCCTGTTATTTAACAGTGTATTTTGGTCTCTTCCCTGCTCCAATTGATGTCAAATGTTAAAAATTCTGATCCCTTGATTTTTTAACTTGAAATTTACAAATTTTCTCCTCCCATGAGATCTTATTTGCAGCTTCACTGGGCAGGGGTGGATTTACAATGAAACATACCAGGCCCAGGTTTGGGGCCTCCAGGTCTGGGCAGTCCAGCCCTGAGTCCAGCACCTTCCCATGCAGGAGATGGATGCTCTTGCAGGGGGCAGTCCCTCTGCGTAGAGGGCTAAGGGGGGAGCAGGAAAGCAGGGAGGCTGGAGTCTTCGGAGAGCCAACAGGAGGCAGCGAGTAGCAGGTGGATTTACAATGAAACATACCAGGCCCAGGTTTGGGGCCTCCAGGTCTGGGCAGTCCAGCCCTGAGTCCAGCACCTTCCCATGCAGGAGATGGATGCTCTTGCAGGGGGCAGTCCCTCTGCGTAGAGGGCTAAGGGGGGAGCAGGAAAGCAGGGAGGCTGGAGTCTTCGGAGAGCCAACAGGAGGCAGCGAGTAGCAC